ATTATTATTATTAGGTGATGGTTTAGAAATGAATGTGTCAATTATAGATTACATTCTAATGCTATCTTAGGTTTTATTTCAACGCTGTGTATTATATTTCATAATTTGAAGTTTATAGTTTTTTCATGATAATTAGGAATAGGTTAACAGTTTGCTTTTGACGTTCAATCTGCCACTTATTGTAATTCATACTTGATATTTTGTTTTATTCACCCTTTTCTTTAATTAGTATGTATTTATTTATCTTATCTATTTATCTATTTATTCATGTATTTATTAATTTATTCATTTGTCTTACAGTGTGTTACATTATTTAAAGTTACACCTTTTCATCATGAAATCTGCCATAATGACATGATTATTTCTATTTGAATTATCTAATCTCCCTCCCCCCCCCTGTTGCGATGACATAATTATTTCTATTTACATTATATAATCTCCCCCCCCCCCCTCTCTCCCCTCCAGTACGGTCTGATGGTCATCGTCATCTTCTGCTTGGAAGTGACAGCAGGAGCCCTCGCCGCTGTCTACAAGGCTGAGGTAAGCAGGTTCTCTTGTGTGAAAAAAGGGAAAAAAAAAGTTCTTTTGTGTAAAGAAAAACGTTCTCGTGTAAATAAAAGTTTTCGTGTAAAGAAAAGTTCTCTTGTGTAAAAAAAAAAAAAAAAAAAAAAAAAAAAAAAAAAAAAAAAAACAGAGGGTTTTTTAAAGGTAGTAAGTGAAAATGAATAATTTAGCAGTGGAGTAAAGGGTATGGAGTGAGGGAGAATAATATAACAGTAAAACAAATGAATAGGAAGTGAGAAAATATGATAAACGAGCGAGAAAAAGGTATAGGAAGTGAGAGAGACTAATATAGCAGCGAAGAAAAAAATAATGGATAGGAAGTGAAAATGAATAAAATTAGGAAAAAAAGTATAATTGCTGCCTTCCGATGGCATGTGTATTGAGTCAGGATTGCGTAATAGTGATGCAACCTCGGAGCGCGTCATTTGCATATTCTGAATTATCCGTTGTTGTTGTTTTTTTCTCTCTTCTTTTTCTCTTTTTCTCATTTGAATATTCTGAATTATCCGTTGTTGTTTTTTTTTCTTTTTCTCTTTTTCTCTTTTGCATATTCTGAATTATCCGTTGTTTTTTTTTCTCTCTTCTTTTTCTTTTTTTCTCATTTGCATATTCTGAATTATCCGTTTTCTCTTTTCTCTTTCTTACGTTTTTTTTTTGCATTTTTTGGAAAGGAAGAATCTTAATGTGTGGAATTGTTATTTTCTTCTTATTATTAATGTTGTGATTTTTTTTCGAGTAGGCCTCGAGTGTAATATCTAAATAATCATTGATAATAACAGTTTATGCAAATAGTCCGTTTCGCTAAAATGAGTTAATATTCGCGGCCACGTCAGGAGCTTGATAATGCACCGAGGTTGGCAGTCGGTAAATGCATTGATTACCGTCGAATTGATCATTGATTAATTAAGACGTCGCCTTTCCGACGTCCTTTTTATTACTGAAGGGCAGGTTTTAGGGAGTTAATGGTGGTTATAGATTGGTTTGTGTGTTTTGTTTGTGGGACTGCTGTTTTCTGGCCTGTGTTTCTTGTTTACTTCATTTGTTTATACGTAAGCTGTCTTTCTCTGTCTCTCTGTCTGTCTCTCATTCTCTCTTTCTCTCTTTCTCTCTCTCTCTCTCTCTCTCTCTCTCTCTCTCTCTCTCTCTCTCTCTCTCTCTCTCTCTCTTTCTCTCTCTCTTTCTCTCTCTCTTTCTCTCTCTCTTTCTCTCTCTCTCTCTTCTCTCTCTCTCTCTCTCTCTCTCTCTCTCTCTCTCTCTCTCTCTCTCTCTCTCTCTCTCTCTCTCTCTCTCTCTCTCTCTCTCTCTCTCTCTCTCCCCCCTTCTTCCTTCCGCTCTCCGCCCCTGCTTCCATCTCACTCTCTCTCCTTCCCTCTTCGTTTGTTCACAGAATTAGGGTTCGCAAAGTCAGGTCAGATAAGGTCAGATTCCGCCCAAGAATTCCACTTAAAATGGACATTGCCGGATAAAATGGGAAAGAAAAAAAATATCGTAAGTCATTTCATCATCGTTAGGCAATCACGGCGAAGAAGGAGAATAAGGAAGAGGAGAAAAAGGAGGAGGAGAAAAAGGAGGAAGAGGAGAAAAGGGAGGAGGAGAAAAAGGAGGAAGGAGAGGAAAAGGAAGAGGAGAAAAGGGACGAAGAGGAAAAAAAGAAGGAAGAGGAGAAAAAGGAGGAAGAGGAGAAGACAGAGAAGAAAGTAAAGAAGAAAGAGAAGGAAAAGGAGAAGAAAAAAGGAGAAGAAGGAGGAGAAGAAGAAAAAAAGAAAGAAACAAAACGAAAGAAGGAGAAAGAAAAAAAGAAAGAAAGAAGAGAGGAGAGAAGAGGAGGAAAAAGGAGGAGAAGAGAAAATGTGATTGATAGACGCCGTGATCTTGTCTCTGCGAGGTTGGAGTTCACTTCCTAATTCCCTTTCTCAGATCGTAAAAAAAATGAACT